TGAACAAATCTGAGAGAGGTCCACATGTAGTACCTATATATGTAATATCAAAGCAATTGCACTTGTGGTTTTTAACAAGAAGTCGAAAATATCAGTTTTTACCAAAAATGACAAAAATATTCACCAAAATTAGAGAATTAAAGATATCATTACAAAATGAACAAATCTGAGAGAGGTCCACATGTAGTACCTATATATGTAATATCAAAGCAATTGCACTTGCGGTTTTTAACAAGAAGTCGAAAATATCAGTTTTTACCAAAAATGACAAAAATATTCACCAAAATTAGAGAATTGAAGATATCATCACGAAATGAACAAATCTGAGAGAGGTCCACATGTAGTACCTATATATGTAATATCAAAGCAATTGCACTTGCGGTTTTTAACAAGAAGTCGAAAATATCAGTTTTTACCAAAAATGACAAAAATATTCACCAAAATTAGAGAATTAAAGATATCAACATGAAATGAACAAACCTAAGAGAGGTCTACCCAAGGTACATATACACCAAGTATCAAAGCATTTAGGCTTGTAGTTTTCAAGAAGAAGTCGAAAAAGTAAAACATTGACACGGACGACGACGACGGACGACGACGACGGAGGACAATCACTCATATGATAAGCTCCGCTCGACAAAGTCGACAGCGGAGCTAAAAAGGTAGGTTCAGCCATCTAAGATTTCTATTTGATCATTGCAGGACAGGGAAACTGGATTCCATAAAAGGTTTGGATTTATCGAGTTCCAGTCTGAAGAGGGTTACAATAATACAATACAGAGACCATATCATGTGATAGAAGGAACAAGGGTAGGTGTAAAAGGCACATCTTGTGTCATATATCATGGTTTACTTTCGAAGGACCAATTAACAGTGGTGTTATAAATCAAACTTATTTGATTGACCTATCCAGCGCTGTTTCTCACACAATTATTCATATCTTCACAGGTATTCGTCAGACCTCATGCTGGATCAACTGCTCCTGGAAGACCTGATGAATCTTTATTTAGTGACGAGTAAATTATTTTTTTTTAATATTTTTTTTTTAATGTATGTTCAGTTTGTTCTTTGAATAAATGTAAATACTAGCACTCATAATTTGATTGTTCATGGTCATTAATTGTTAGTCAGCTGCTAATAGTAGAGTTGTTTTTGGAGTAGATAACATTTTCAAAGCTTTGAAAATGCCAACGTAACAATAGGACAGTTATTAATCAGGTTGAAAGATAAAATGTAACAGGTTTGTAAATTTGTATCAACATAACATGTGGGGGAGGGGCAGACTACAAAAGCATTTTGTAGATGTCAGAAGTTGACAACTGTGCTCAAAGAGTTAATTAAAAAAATTATTTGAGTTTCATTTCTCAATTCGAAGCTAATTCTGCACAACAATACGTGATGGATGTTCATAGTAAATTTACTTTGCGATTTAATCTGATATTTTAAAGAGGCATGACTTGCAAATTTGGCACAGACTTGCATGAAATGCATCCGCACACGGTCGTCTAACGCAGTTGGCAATATAAGTGTGATATGCAAGATATCTAGGTTAGGGATTTTGATTGAGTTACCGAGTCGTATCACTTAAGTTGAAACATTCCCCATTACAATTGGTTTGCAATGCACACTCCTGAATTTATAGGATGTTGCTTTTACTGATTGTTAGGAGACAGCTATCAGTAGTTTACAGCCTGTTTAGAGTCTTATTAGTAAACTTTCAAGGCAGTTAACTACAGTTGGTGACCAAGTTGTGAAGTAATACCACAAAGTTTTAAGTTTTTTTTCTGCAGCCTTATCGCGAGCGTATTGTCAGTGTCTGTTTTGCGCAACTTTTTTTGTATAGAATGAAGATGGGCCCCATGTCCTGTAGAAATCATATTTTATTCATTACACATCACCTACTTAACTTATTCACTAGAGTAACCATGCATCCATACACTTGTTGATCTGAACATCAGGGGTGATGCTGCTCAAAAGAATGTCCCATTGTTAAATAGTGAGATGGGAAGTTGTACTGACGACTTGTGATAATTATGTTCACATACTAAGTTTCTCTGTTCTCAACCATGCAGTTTACTAGAAAAACTCTAACACTTCTCATGTACTTTCTCAGTAAATGCTGACAAAGAATGCTGTTTGAAAACTGTTCAATTTTTAAACGAATCCTCCAAAGCACTATATTGGATGTCGCATTATCATGTCTGAATTCAATATTAACCACCATCAGAATTAAAAAAATTTAGTTAAATTTATAGGCTTTTTGTTGGAATGAATTTGAAGCAGAATTCAAAACAGCAATGTAGAACAGGATTGCAGTGAAGACAATATGATAATGTTGTTGATTAGAACTGCTTGTGAATGCTGTAACTTTTAGATTTTTTTTTTGGCCAAGTTACACAAAACTTGCTGACAAAGCATCTTTAATATCAAATAACCCTTAGGAGTATGATAACCCAACCCAAAAATTTGATCGACCCGGTAGAGAGTTGATTGAAATAATGTACGTCACTTTTATATGAACATCCACGTACAGGCAGAACATGCATTTGAAAAACGCATGAATGCACATATGGAATACAGCCATACTTCATAACAGGCTAAAATTTCATTGTATTGATCCCATGTATGTATCAGTGATTCATTTTATCATAAATCACCTACTTATGTTATTCAGTACAGCTTTCATCCACACAGCATCTATCTGAAAATCAATGGTTAACAATTCAATTTTTATTAAACAATAAGGAAGTTGTACGCTTCATTTGGACCATGTGAAAATAGCTTACCGGGTAGTTGTGAAAAACATCTGTTTACCAGCACTTTGTAAATACAAAGTTAGAATTCTGGAGTACTATTGAACTATTGTTGACACAACGCCTTGCTGAAAGCCACCACAGATAACGGTAATAAAAGGTGGAAGTGAACTGAACTTGACTGAAATTACTTTGGTGTTGAAATTAAAAATCAAAGAAAGCTTAGAAAGAACTCCCATGTGCTGAGAGTATTGGAGACACAGTAAAAATTATTTCAAAATTATTTGTACTTGAGATATTGATGGTTAAGTTGAAAACTATGGAAATCAGGAAATTAATATGAACAAATTTGAGTGTAAAACTAATGTGGTCTGCACAATGTAACAGACAATCTATGTACCAAGTTTCATTGAAATATGATTAGAACCAAACATGAATTATTATGCTAATTAGGGAATTAATATGAACAGATTTTAACCCAAAACTAAGATTTGTACATTGGCCTAGAGCATCTATGTACAAAGTTTGATTGAAATATGAGTACTCGAGATATCAGTGGAAAAGCTGAAAATTCAGTAATTATGCAAATTAGGTAATTAATATGCACATTTATTTCCCCAAAAACTAATCAGGTTTCTGCAGTCCTAGAGGATCTATGTACTAAGTTTTATTGGAATGTGATTAGTACTTGAGATATCGGTGGAAAAGCCGAAATTCCCTAATTATGCAAGTTAGCTGATTAATATGCACAAATATTTATTCCAAAACAATCGATCTGTGCATAGTCCTAGAGTATCTATGTACCAAGTTTCCTGGAAATGTAATGCTTACTACTTGAAATATCAAAAGCTGAAAATTAATTATGCTAATTAGGTAATTAACATGTACTGATATTGCCCTAAAAACTGTCAGGTCCTTGCAGTGTCTTATGACATCTAGATACCAAGTTTCATTGAAATGTGGTAATTAGTAGTCGAGATATCAGTGGAAAAGCCGAAAAATTGACTAATCATTATGCAAATTAGATAATTGATATGCAGATTTTCACCCAAAACCTGACATTAGTTCAGAGCATCTACAAACCAAGTTTTATCAAAAACCAACTACTGTGGAATACTTTATTTTCGCTGGAATTAATTTTCGCTTAAAAGGCTTTTTGGGCATATTGTATGGAATTTATTTTCACTGATTTTTGATGAGTTTAATGTGAAATATAGGAAAACAAAGTATATTCGCTGGATTTTATTTTCACGTAATCATCCCTTCAGCGAAAATAAATTATTCTACAGTAGTTGTTTAGATATTACGGTAGTGGAATAGTCAAGTAATAGCTAAAAATTAGCTAATTATCATGCAAATCAGGTAATTAACCTAATCAAATCTGCGCATTAGTCCAGAGCATCTATGCACAAAGTTTCATCAAAAACAGATGCATGGTTCTTGAGATATCAGTGGAAAAGACTGACATGCGAACATACAGACGCACTAACTGCAAAGACTACCGGTACCATTGATTTTAATGTTGTTAATGTTCGTATGTAACCTGTATGAACTTAATATATTTTGACAGTCATAGAACTTTTTGTATGGAGAATAGTCATCAACTTTCTGCAAACATCTTGCACTAAATTTGCATTTGTTTAAGCTTAATTAATCAAACATGCCACGTTCCAAAGTCTGTTCTTTTAATGATCAGAGACTAGATGCAAACGTTTGGTATTGAGACAAATGATTTTTCAGAGTCACTATAAGGAAGGCATGCTATAGCTTTTCAACGTAGGCAAAATGATAGAGGTCATGATTCCCACTGAAACAAAATACCCATCCTTTAATAGAATAACAGAACAACACAATATACTTGTATCAAGAACATAAATGTTCTCTGAAAATTTATTTGAAAAAAATATGATTGTTTTTATTATAAAAACAGAAAATTGTCACAAATGACTCAAATCACAGGTCATACACCCTGGACCTAGTGAGATTTACTGCAGTTATCGTGCCTCAATGTACTTTACCCAAATAATGCTGTACACACATGTGCATGGAGGAATACAATGTCTACTATAACCAGGTCAATTGCTTGTGATCATACAAATGTGCAATGGGGGGCTGCTTTCAATACCAATTGCAAAGAATAAGACTGATCTTCTAACACTGCAATCAAACCAACTTGGGTTTTAGTAATACTTTACGCGACAAATCATACCATGCCCTGTATACTGACACCTATCCAATCAGTTAAATCAGCACTATAAAGATGGACACGTCTCCAAATACAGATCTAAATTTACTGCAATGATCACATAATACCAGTGAGTCTTCTTAAGAATGTTATATATTAATTACCACCATTTAACCTACAACACTTTATGATGAACTTAACACATCTTTCATTATTTGGGCAGTGGTTAAAAAAAGTTTGTATTCCAGATAGAAAATCAAGAATCTCTCAGTATTCTCTCCTCTTTTTACTTCTACTGTCATAGTCATAGTCCTTTGATCTACCACCAACATTTGGTCTTTTACTGGCCTCTTTAGCTTGGGACAAGAACTTATCCAAACCGAAAGGATCTTCTTCCTCTTCTTTCTCAAACTGCACAGGTCCATCTCTCCTTCGTGTTCTGTCAGTACCCTCAAACTCTTTTCCAGGAACAAACCTGTCATGACAAATGTACAATTAACAAAAGATAAAGAGACAACTATCCCAACAGATTTACCCTAGTTTCAGCTTTTTGGTGTCAAAAAAAGCTACAAGCTAAAACCAATTATGCAAATTAGATAATTAATATATACAGATTTGAACCCAAAATTACTCAAATCTACAGATTATTCCCAAAGCATCCTTACATGTATATACCACGTTTCATTGAAATTTAATGACTTGAGCTATTAGGTGGGGCATACACACAAACACACAAAAAACAGACAGAGTAAACTTACAGGCCTCTAGAATACCAAATAACGGTAAAATCAGTATTAAAAATTGCGGCTTCTATTAAAATGGTACAATGCAACAGAGGATGCGGCTTTTATTAGAGCATCTACACAGAGAAATGGTGAATTTTTGGATCTCAATTGTTCAAAAAGAATGGGTGCTGCTTCTATTAGGGGTGCGGCTTCTAATACAGATTTTACCTACAGAAATACCTAGTACAACATCCTATTAAAAGTGACATGAACTTCATATCACTGTAAAATATTTCATTTTTAGTAAGTTATTAAAACATACAAACCTTTTATTTTTCATAAGTGCCTCTAAATCATCACCGTAAATGTCTTTATCAATATTTTTGCTGGGTCTATAAATTGACTGGGCAACATTCTGATCTTTTCTCCATGGTTCACTGTACACATTGTACGACTCGTCTTCCCCTGCACCAAAACCACTGTCCATTCCCTGAAAATAAAATATAATATAAATATAGAATAAAAGAAAAGATTTTCAGAAAAATACAGCCGCTGATAATATTATAAATACTCAAATTAAGCATTGACCTTGATAATTGGTTGACATCAGTGGCAATAAATTTATTAATACAACAGCTGGTTACAGCTTGACACAAATAACACATTTTCATTACCTTGTTCTGATTGAATAATCTTTGGTCAAACTGAGCATCATCACCTCCCCTTCCCCCAGCACCTGGCATACCTAAGGCAATCTTCTCACTGACATCTCTTTCACGCTCTCTCTGAAGCTTGTTCCTAGATTGGGTGAAGTTACAATATTGTATTAAAGATATATACTTGAGGTCAGAGTACACACCAAGAAGAAAAGTGTTATTATCATACAAGAAAACTACTTGTAACCTTTCAGTAGATTGGGTTTTGTTTGTACAGAAGGATGGATACCTTTTATCTGGAGCTGCCCTTGCAATATTTCTTTCACGTTGCCTATCCCTGTGTCTCTCTTCGCGAATCTTGTCTCTCTCTCGAACAACATCATCATCATGATCTGAAGAATTGAAAAAAAAAATTAAATAGCAAAGGAGAAGACAAAGTAGCAAACAACATTTAAAACCTAGTAATTTACACTTACCACCTCCTCGTCTAATGCCAGCTCGTTCTTCTCTTGCTTTCTGTGCCAAGGCACGAAGATTCTCTTCCTGCTTTTCCTTCTGTTTTTGTGCAAGCTTCTTCTCTTGTTGGGCCCTGAGTTCCACAGCTTCTCGAGCCTGCAATCATTATCAGATGCAACTATAGTTATGCATAGTAAAATTTTGTACAAATATACAGCAATCAAAGTCAGGGAATAGACTCTCTTATGCTGATTTGGAATATGTTTTGTTATTTACAACTTACTTTTCTATCAGCAATATACAATGCTTCAGCCAATTTCGCAAAGTTTTCATTAATTTGTTGGCTCTGAAGTCCTCTGCCATCGGCTGCAAGACGCTTATCAAGTGGAATGGTGTAACCCTAAAAAAATTGCACATAAAGGACAGTTAATGTTAAAATCATGTAGGTAACGGTAGACATACATATAGAATTTCTAGTTTGGTATTTGTCAGAGCTACACTGAGATCAGCAATAGTTACAATGTCATCAACAAACCTTTGCATTTTTCCAGTTAGATATACATGGTGGTATTTTCCATTCTTGCTGTTCTTTCACAGTGACCTGATAAATAAATAGATACAAAAGCACAATTAGAACATCACATGCATAAATTTTACAGCACTCTCCTTGTGTAACATAGCGACCACTATAATCCCAAGTAAATTTAGCAGTATCAGAATTTCTAATGCTTGCTTAACACCACATCAGCAAATACCAAATATCCAATATTTGCAAGAGAAACCTACTTTTCTGTTTGGTGAATGCATAACTGGCGCTGGAGGAGAAGGTGGTCCTCTAGGAATCTTCTTATTAACCCTGTAGAATAGATGTGGTAAAATTAAAATTGGTACTACAGACATGATGTCTATTCATGTACACTCTCAATCTATCATACATACATACATACAGTAAAAACTCGATTAATTCGCGGTAGTAAAAATAATTATTTTTTCAAGTGCACAAATTAATAGCGTAAAAACGGAAATTAATGATTTTTGGTGCGCGAATTAAAAGAGTACTTTTAGATCGATTCAAAAAAGAGCTGTTTTCATAAATTTATTAGTGATTTGTTTTGTTTTCCAATGAACAGGATTACAGGACGTTTTTTTAGTGCCTCTGAGACTCGTGGCTAGTCAGTGACATTCATGGCGTGTAGTCGGACAGAGAACACGCACTGCGTCAAGGACCACGGACCATGTTACACTTCAAATGAAACATTGAAATGGTAAAGGTCACTCTGTACACAAACAAACAATGAACACGTGGCTACAAAGTAGCCGTCTGGCTGCACTGCCTTTTTTTTTTCTAGACATCGCCCGGGCGATGTTATGGCAGATATTACGAAGCCCATCTTGTCTGGAAAAATAACCCTGCGTTGATAAAAATGTTTAGAAAAAATAATGTTTCGCATTGACCAAATATAATCATGCAAAGTATAAATTCAAAGTGTTTCAATACATTGGTGAGAGGTCGCATTTTACGTGAACAAGAACATGTACTAAGGAAAATCAAGCCAAAGACGAAACAGGGTGCATCACGGACATGACACAACACACGCTGCGACAACTGAGTGATCAGAGACATCATTTTGGGATGCAATTGAACTTCAAGTACTTTTTTTGCGAAACTTGCTGCACGGCGATGCTGATATCAAGTGTGTGTTGACCGAAGTTTGACCCCAAGTCACACACTGAACTGGCGCGTTACCTTAGCAACCTTTTTCTTTAGTGCCCGCGCGTCAATCTAGTAAAATTGTTATTATATCCGAAGGTACTGTAATTACGCAACTTGTATGCAACTCTGTACTGGCTTTGAATATATCAACGTCGTTTACTTAGTGCACTGCTTTTCTCATTAAGCAAATTTGTTTACAATATTGTACTGGCTCTGAATATTTCAACTTCGTAATGTATTGCTTTCATGATCATTAGTTTTTTTTAACCACGCGTTTGAATTACGTGCGGCATTGGGCAATGACCTCCAGAGTTCATGCACTGATATTTAAATATTCGGACCACCCAGCTTGACACAAATCAATATAGTTACTTGTCATTTGTTCAAAAAATCTTTCAACTCTCACAAATACCATGGATGCGAAGAGTTAACTGGGGGTTAAATGAAAAGGAACGTCTTTCTTGGACAAAAAATATGTCAATACAAGATTATGTGTGCAAGGTTGGATTTATAGAACGTACATGACCGCGAATTAATAGAGACCGCGAATTAATCAAGTTTTTACGGTAGCAGAAATTGGCAATCTGATAAAAACACATCTAAATATGAAGATTTAGCAACTTACTTGAATTTTGGTGGTTCCATTGGATCTTTCTGAACTTCCACCATTCTGATGACTCTTTGCTTGGCACCAGAATTAAATGAAACACCTTGCTGGGATGGAGTGTACCTGTATGTAACAAGAAAAGAAGTACTGAATACAATGCAGTAAAATAGTAAAGAACACTTTGCTGTTTGTGCTCAGATGTGTTGAGCAACTACAAATGTGACTGTCAAATACTTATGGAGAGTTGAAGTTGGAAGGAATATTAACCAAACAGTTGTCTGTATTTGAAAAATTATAATATTTTTTGGGCCACCTGATTTTGAAAAACAATTTGTTTTCCAACTCATATGAGATAAAAAATTTACAGAAAGCCAACAGGATGCAAGGTTATGTATCGGTAGTTACAATTTTTTTAAACTCACTGAAAGGAATCTTATAACATGACCCTGACATTTGTGGGGGTATGAAAGTTCTTTTCACTTGTAATGTGGTGTGTATGCTGTATGAAAATAATTTCTACACCCAACAATCATATCATTTCATAGTGACTCCTACCTTATATATTGGGCTGGTGCCTGTTTTTCTGCATGCCTCACTGGCATCGCAGCTGATATTTTACTCTGCACCATTTTTTCAAGAGCTTTTCTGGTTTTCTCTGTTGTCTAAGAGTAAAATAAAAGCATGAACACTGTACATTATTTTCATGAATATCATGTTCCACTACTTCACAGACTGTAATGATATGTCAAATCAGATGAACGTTATGTGTAAAGAAATAAGATTAAAAGTCTATTATGTCCATATACAGAACACTCAGTGTAAGATGAGTTGTTTTTTAAGCACACCATGTTCTGACGCCATGTTTACAAATAAACTCAGGCTCATGATAAGTTCACGAGTTTTATAAATCAAAATTACTTTTTGTTTTCCTAACTGGACATTACTGCACGTCTGTTGCACAAGAATACCTTGAGTATGAACTCACCTCTTGAATTTCTTCATCATCCGGCTTCTGTAATTCGGGATCATCTTCATTTGTTATGTGTTTGGGAAGGAGGTCAGTAAACTTTGAATAAACAACCTACAATAATAGGAGATGTAAACAATGATGTAAATATAATAGTGGTTGAAGAAAAATAATTGTTTCAGCAAACCATGCAACATAGCTTACCTTATCTTTACCGTGACCATGTCTGGCGATTGCATCATATTTCAGCTTTCCCTCAGCATCTACAGTTTTTGCGATAACATTAGATGAACCGATTTTCTTTTTCTTTCCCATGTCCAGTGGATGCTGTGCAACAGTAATCTCTGGATATGCACCTCCATCGCCAAAGTCCTAGTAGAGAATACATGAGGATTTTAAAAACAAGTCGAAAATTAGGGACTATCACTATGGTGATCGGCTGTGCCATTTCGCATACTTGTTTCAAGTGATCACATTCAAACTTAACAAAAAATCAAAGAAAGCTTAGAAAGAACTCCCATGTGCTGAGAGTATTGGAGACACATTAAATATAATTCGAAATTACTTAGCTGAAAACTAATTATGCAAATCAGAAAATTAATATGACCAGATTTGAGTGTAAAACTAATGAGGTCTGCGCAATGTAACAGAAAATCTATGTCTCCAAGTTTAATTGAAATGTGATTAGAACCAAAAAATTATGAATTATTATGCTTATTAGGGAATTAATATGAACAGATTTTTACCCCAAACTAATTAGGTTTGTACATTGTCCTAGAGCATCTTTGTACTAAGTTTCATTGAAATGGAATAATTAGCACCGTGAAAACTCCAAAATTTCGAACCCTCTAAAAATTTGGCCGCCTATTTATTTGCCGGGTTTCGGTGTTTTATTTACCTCCAAATTTTCGACTCCACTAAAAATTGCCGACTCATTCTTATTCGAAAATTGCGACCAGTTTTAGTTTTCCCCCAAACGAAAAAAAAAACGATGTGAGCGTTCAAACGGGACCTTCCTCAAAGGCATGAATCCGGGTTTCTGATTGACTGAGAGATTTTTATTTTATTGGTAACGAAAATATATTCTAAATAAACGAAGTTTCAAATAAAAACGAACACAAAAATCTCG